AAAATGGGAGCCAAACCATAGGATAGACTGGGAACCTACTGAGATTCTCCTCAGGATCTGTGGCTTCCCCTAGTTTCTCTTCATTTTGATTCCTTAACAACGTTCCAGATTTGAGTTTTTCCCCCTTCACACCTCTTTGTCTGATTTCGTTGTAAAGTCTTATCCTTTTGACCTCTTTGAAGATGATATTCCCAACAATGTTCCAGATTTGAGTTTTTCCCCCTTCACACCTTCTTCGTCCGATTTCGTTGAAAAGTCCTATCCTTTTGACCTCTTTGAAGATGATATTCCCTGATTTTTATCGAGAGTTTTCTTAGGTGACTTCGGTCATTTAAGATGTAATTAACTATAGGGGCTTGCCCTTATAGGAAGCTTTTCCGAACCCAGCTTAAAATAAACCCTATTTAATTATTTGTATTAAATAAGGGAACTTGTCGGCAAATAGAACGGTTTCGCAGACCCAAACAGATGTCATATGTTTTCCTAGTTTATTTGATTGAGCCTCATCTTCAAGTCTTGTGTTTACCCCTCGGGATAGATACAGGATTTGAGGTAGAGTGTTCTTTCATTTAAACTGTGAAAAATATGAGGTCAGTTTGATTTCATATTTTTCTAAATATATATATATATATATACGTAAATTAAAACGTCCTTCCGAAGCGAGCGATGGGATTTCAATTCCGGTTGCCGACAGCTTCTTACGGACGACCCCCCAAGCAACCTTTCTTTCTTTCTTTTTTTGTGCCGACAGTATCTTAAGGAGATTGAGCTAGAAAAAAGACCCACCACCTATTTTAACAAATAAGAATGACAAAATATTATGAAAAATTTCAAGGAAATGACAACAAGGGAGTATGATAGGTTGCAATTTAAGATGGAGGTCATTAATTCATTAATGATAGGAAGAATGGAGGTCATTAATTCACTTTCTTCCTCTTTTCAAAGGAAAAAAAATAGGATTTGGTACTTTTTGTTCCACTCCCAAAGATCTTCATCAAACTCCAAGACAAGACTAATAAGCCCTACTATTACTTAGATTATAGAGCTTGTCAGCTTTGGAGCTAGAGTCAAAACCAATGAATGCATACTTTTCATGTTTGTCATCAAACTTTGTTCTTTTCTCATTGGAAACATGGACATAAACAACATTTCCAAATACTTTGGGATGAAAGATTCATGGCTTCCTTTTACTCAATGCTTCTAGCACAATTTTTCCACACACTTCTTATGGGGAGCGACTTGCAAAGAAGGTTGCACAAGCAACTGCATCGACCAAAAACACTTTAAGCTATCTTCCTTTTGAGCACACTAAGATATGTTGAGAATTATTTGATTTTTTTATTTTATAAGAAAGTTTGGCACTGATAGCAAACTTCAAATTTAATGATATTTACAATATTTTTGAAATTTGTTGGATGAGAAACCATCACACCGATCAAATCTCAGGCCCATATTATTAAAATCGATTTTATCTCAACAAGATCTTTAAACTTCTTAAAATATTTAAACACTTTTTTCTTGAAAAATCATCAACAAACAAAAAAAATTTGTTCTAACCAAAATATATCAACGTAATAAGGCAACAAAGTTGATGAGTATGAGATCAAGTGATTTGTAGCTCTTGAAGTTGATTCTTTTGAAAAAAAAAATTTGTGAGATTTTTTCTTAAGAAAACATTCTTCACATAGTTGATCAAGTTGGTTAATGCAATATAGCCTCTCACAATCTCCTTTTTTGATATAAATTTATAACTTTCAAATTTGAGGCATTCGTATCATAGATATTATAACTATAATGTCTTATTATAAAAAACCTTAAAACACTGTGCAACTTTATATTGAATATTTAGTTTTGAAAAAAAAAATGATATATATACCTTGACACAATGTTATTTTTTATACTAGATATAAAGTAAACATTCAAAACGAATTAATGACCTCCATTCTTCAAGAACATAAGAATTTATCTTTATCTTCTACCAATATTTTGAATTCAGCTCCAAATAGGATAATTTCTCTTAAAGCCTTGTTAAACTCCACACATGCGCTTCTTTATGCACAAATGTGGATTGATTGCTCCAGCATAAAGGCATCATCTTTTTTATTTGTTTTTATCTTTATCCTTGCATGTTAATGATAATGTGTATCTTCATCACTATTGTCATCAGTAAAACTGTTCACCTCAACTTTTCTCATACACCTACAGTCATAAACATAATGGCCAGATTTTTGAAAATTATAGTATTTAAAATGATGCTAGCCATATACAACCAAAAATTGCCTCTTTTCTTCTGTGGAATCTAAGCCCTATTACTGAAGTTGGAAGAGTTGTTTTATCCACCAAAATGTTCTCTTCCTCATCCAATGCCATATCATTGGCAATGTCCTCTTTCGCTTTGACACCTTTCATTACCAATGATTTCTGCCTTCGAGTTCAGTTGTAGTTGCACAACTACCTGTTTTTATATTTTCTTTTCCTTTTGCTTTTTCATGTAGGCTTGCAAGAAACCAAATAATGTTTTCACACTCATGTATCTAACTTTTTAGTTTTCAATGGTAAAAGTCATAAACTTAATTTTTTTTATTTAAAATGTCACATTTTCTCTATAATTTTATTTTAATCTAAAAATAATCTAAAACATATTCAGATTCCTCTAAAAATAAAAATTTAAACTCCCATATACGAGTAAGAAAATGAATCTCTTTTTGCTCAGCTCGTTCGTTATAATTTCAAAACTTCCCTTATGCTTTCTTTGGACATGATTGTGCATGAGATATTCTTAAATCCATCTTCATCCACCACTTGAAAGATGAAGCAGAGGCTTTTTTATCCCTTTCTTCTTAAATATTTTAAGTCTTCCAACTGGGTTTGGAATATAGCAATGATATCTTGCTCTTTCCAATTTTTCTCACTGTATACCACAAATCTTGTGCTCTTTGATGACATAGTTATTGTAGTTAATCTTATAGAGCATGAAGACATTGGACATTTGCCATCATTTTAATGCCATTTTGTTGAAAATTTATCAAACAACAATTAAATGTAATGAACAAAGAATCACAGCTTTTTCATAAAATATAATTCTAGAACTCACACAAACTCTCTTTAATAGCTATGTTTTTTTTTTTTCTTTTCCATCTCTCATAAAACCTTTTTCCCTTTCACTTTCACTTGACGGTTAGAACTTCAAAAGATAAAAATAAAATTTATCCAAACAATATATTATACAAAACCAGCGAACGAATCTCAACCTTTTATTCTCCATATGGATAATTTATTAAAAATAGGTGTATTACCTAAAATTTGAATTTTCAATAAATTTACTTTGCAAACAAATTTAACTTTCAACATGAAGTAGCATCGAAGATTTATGAAGAAAGGCGAATAAACTAAAAATATACGTTTTAAAGCTGTAAAAAATTTTACAAAAAAAGGAGCTAAAACACTAATACCATTCGTCACAAATAAATTAAAAAAAAAAAAAAAATCATTAAGCCTATGTGATTTAACTCATTCAAAATTAGAGAAAATTCAGAAAAACTGCAAACATAATCTAGATTCAAAACATAGGGTAACAAAGCAAAAATAAGAAAGATCTAAATTTAATTTTGAGACCGAACTAACAGTATGCACAGTTGAATCCCGATTATATAAATCACAATTTGATATGCTTATTACAGTATTTTAGCCACAAAAAATGCCTTCCTTCAGATAAGTTTAAGGTGAGAAATAAGTTCTACCATTTCTGATATATATCCATTCCGAGCCTGGATTTTCTTTAACTAAATGCGCCGGTCTGAGGTTTTCCAATCAAGCATTTTTTTTTATTTGGGGGCATTTACATACATATCACAAAATTCTTATGTTTTTACATATCTCACACTTAAACTTTTCATATTATTGGATTCTGATTAGTCTTTGAATCACACCTAAGAAATAAAGCGTAAAACAAAAGAGAGAGAGACACAGAGAGATGCACAACAATTAACAGTAATCTGAATTGTTGATTAGCCCTTTCTAAGGAAATAATCCCCTTATTTATATAGGAGGTATAATATATTAAGTTACATATTTGCCATTGCTTTAACCATGGCGTTATAAGATATTTTCAGTATTTTACATTTATAGACCTTAGGTTCGGCCACCTATGACTCAATTGGTTGGAATTAGATTTGGCAGAATCTGCCCATTCACCTTCATTGAATTGGGTTTGTTGGTCAGTCCTTAATAGTCTTCTGGTTGGCAAGGCTTGACTCAAATGGTTTGGCTTTGTCGATCTAGTATGTTGGTCTGATTGCTCACAGTTAATCCCTGGGTAAGGAAATCCAATTGTTAGAGTAAAGCCAGGCTATCGAGCAGAGAGTGAATTACAATAATCTGACAGGTAGCTTACTCCTCAATGAGACAATCCTTCGAGGGATGCTTCAAGTGGTTACGTGATGATTAGCTCTTGGCCCTGGGTGAGGAATCATAGGGGCGTCTGTGAGATAGTTAGTGATGTTAAATGCTTCCTTGAGTCAGATTATAACAAGAGACAAATTGATGCTCCCGCTGGACTCGATAGAAATTGACCATTGGTCAGACACCTTTGCTCAGTCAGCCTTCGCCCTTCGACCTCGGCTTAGGCGGTTGCACCTGGTCAACCGTGGATATTCTGGTGGTGAACGCTTAGCCTTATGTTGTAGGCCCTTACCCTTCCACTGATGGACCTTTGGACTTCCTCCTGTAAACCTTTGGCTTTCCATCTGCAGACCTTTTAACTTTTGTTTGTGGTCCATTGATCTCCCATTTATGGGTCCTCCTAAGTTGCATTTCTCTGTACATTTTGTCTGTTGGATTTCTTTGAGACTCATGCAGACATGTATCTGATACACACAAATTTACACAGACATCACTAAAATCTTTAATGTCACATAACAAATAACACTAAAAGTGAAATAAACCTTTTCATGCATAGGTTTAAATCACCAAAGTGTCATGTATGTAAATATGAAAGTTTAGGTGTGAGATATCTTAATACATAAGAATTGTGTGTAAATTTCCATTTTTATTTTTTCTACTGGAGGGAGTCATAGGTGAAATTAAGCGTTTAATGAGCAGTTTATACCCACGCTTGGGCTTGCCTTCACCTCGGTGTTCATTTGGTTATTCAATATCACTTTAACCAGTAAAATGAGAGAAATGCTACACTCTCCTAACACATTCAGATTTAACTTAATGCAACCATCCGCCAATGTAGCAGTTGAGATGCCATCTTTTAAATCTGTAATTTAATAAGTTCTTTATATATAGAAGCATTTACAAACATTCCACTCAATTCCTATGTATTTACATATCTAGCATGTAAACTTTACTTTTTTACATTTATACACCCCCAAATCTTTCAAGTTCCATTAAAAATCACTACAAAAACACTAAAACCGACGGCATAAATTTATGTCGGAAAAAATGTCATATTTTTCGACAGTGTAACGCGGTTTATGAGCTTGGTTTTTTGCAACGCATAACTGCAGTATATGTTATGTCGTCGCTTAGCAACCGTAATATTTTTTTCTTATAGTTTTTATTATTACCGGCGCATGATACAGTCGGTTATAAACAAATATTAACCGAAGACCATATTTCGTCAATTATTCACGAACCCGACATTTGACGAGGAGTTAATCGACAAGGTTTTTTAATAAATGACGAGAATTTTCGTCGGTAATAATGTTAATTATCGACAGTTTAAAGCCGTCGAAACTAATCCTTTATACCGCCCAAATTTATTATTTTCTTATTTTAGTTAGATTACATCAAGGATCAGCTTTAAACCCATATCTTTCTGCTTTAATTATGGATGCTCTTTCGGGACATTTATGAAAGGATGTACCTTGGTGTATGCTTTTTGCCGGTGATATCCTTCCTGTGGATGAGACTAGAGAAACAGTTTAGGAAAAACTTAAATTATGAAGGTTGAGACAAGATTATAAAGGCGTTCGTTTGAGTAGATCTAAAACTGAATACATGAAATGTAATTTTAGTAGTAGTAGTTCTTGTGGCAGAGTTGTAACAATGGGTGATCAAATTATTAAAAGGTGTGAACGTTTTAGATATCTTGTGTGACTTGTTCAAAGTGATGGTGATATAAATGGGGATGTTATTAGTAGAATTCAATTTGGCTAGTTGAAGTAGAGGAATGCATCCAACCTATTTTGTGATAGAAAATATCGCTTAGTGTCCGTTTGAAGCAACTGCAGGCGCAACAACTGCCACAAGAAACTGCTGCACAGAAGCTGTTGCGGATAAGCTGACTGGTTGTTTGTCTTTTATAGTTTGAAAACAGTTGTGCTGCAGCAGTTTCTGAACAAATGACAATTATGCCTCTATATAATAATGTTGTTTGCACAGAGTTGTCATACTAATATATTTGATACTTTAAATATATTTGATACTTTAAAAGCAACACAAAAAATAAGATATACACCTCACTTAACAATGAGTATCATGATTACTATAAGATATACACCTCACTTAACACCTCACTTAACAATGAGTATCATGATTACTAAAATAAAGAAAAAAACTATTAAAATAACAGTTAATAATATCATAATATTATTTTTAAAATGTTGGAGGCTATGTCAGGAGTTAAGCCGTCCTCCAAAGATACTTTTCATACTCTCCACAAACCACACCACCACCTCCTCACCACACAACCACCTTACACCATCACCACCACACCACACAACTCTCCTACACCACCACCACCACACCACACCACACCAACACATCCACACACCACCACCTCCACAGTACACCTAACACTACCATACCAACACATCCACACACCACACCACACCACAAACTCCAAACCATACATCAACACATCTACAAACCACACCACCACCTCCTCATCACACAATCACCCTACACCACCACCTCCACACCGTACCACACCAACACATCCAAACACCACCACGTCCACCCAACACATCCACACCAACACACCACAAACTCCAAACCACACACCAACACATCCATAAACCACACCACCACCTCCTCATCATACAATCACCCCACACCAAAACCCCCCCACCCCCCCCCCTCCACACCACACCAACATATCCACACACCACCACTCTACACCACACAACCACCCAACACCACCACACCAACACATCCACACACCACACTCACAACAACTTTACCGCTAAAATTCCAGTGAAATTGGAAAAAGCAACATACAAATCCAGCATGAACTTCCCACAAAAATTCAAAATTCATTTTCCCAGCCCATATTCAACAAATACAAAGCACCTAAAATATTGTTGTTAACAAACTCAACACCAAATTCCATCCAATTTTCAAATTCCCCACTGAAAAATCAAAGTTCATAAGGATATTCAAATTCCCCACAGTAAAAACACCAAAAGAAATCGAACAGACCACATACAAGGGATCTGAAGCATTGCTACAAGGTAAAGCACCAAAAATCTAAAGTTCACTGCAAAGCATCAATCCAAGCAACATTGCATCGAAGGCATAAACCAAAACCCGTTTGGATGCAACATGAAGCATAAAAACCACATAACCGAGCATATCAAATCGAAAACCACAAAAAATGAGCAAACAAAGAACCACCAAAATCAAGCAAAGAAATGAAACCAACCAGCTTAATGCGCACAACTACACAAAGAAGAGAGAAAAGAGGTGAAGAACAGAGAAGACAGGAAAAAGAGGGAACAACGCACAACCACCAAACCGAGCCGAATAAGAGATGGGAGAGGAGGTGAGAGAATACACACCTCAACGGAATAACTACCAACTGAAATAAACACCAACCAAAATTATTTATCAAATCAGAGGACTACCTTCACCACACAAAGCACAGAGTGCACAAACCACCAAAATTCGAGCGGAAGGAAAGAGCATGAGAGGGGTTGCGGGGTAAATATGCTTGCGATCGAGAGAGGAGAAACGCGGGACGTGGGGTTAAACTCGCTACCGCATTTTAACAAAATTTTTAAAAAGCGTCGCCGCGACGTGACAACCAAACGCACGAATTTATGTTTTCGGGCCGCACCACACGAAAATTGCGGCGCCAAACTAGCCCTTAGACTTAAAAGAAAATTTTATAAGATGGTGGTGAGACCTGCAATATTCGATGGCGCAGAATGTTGGTTTTTAAAAGAGAAGCATAAAACAAAGTTAAATGTTGGTGAGATGAGAATGCTTGGATGGATGGATGGATGGCTAGACACAGATAGACAAAATGCGAAATGAATATATTTGTGATAGGGTTTTGCGTATCTCCAGTGGCGGACAAGATTGGAGAGAGTCGTCTTAGATGGTTTGGTCACTTTAAACACTGTCCATCTAATGATCCTATTAGGAGAGCAGAAGTTTTAGATTCGACTTATGTTAAGAGAGGCAGAGGGTGACCTAAAGAGACTTGGGCATATTGTGTAAAAAATGATCTTAATCTATTAGAATTAAATGAAAATATGGCACTCAACAGGACGCAATGGAAAAAATGGATTCATGTAGCCCACCCCACTTAGTAGGATAAAGGCTTGTTATTGTTGTATAGAAGCAACGACGTCATCAAGGAATCACCACACCTTACATATAAAGCTTAACCTTTGGATTAGGCAACAAAAGACTTGATCTAGTGGCAGAGTTATAATAATGGGTGACCAAATCAATAAAAGGTGTGAAAACTTTAGATATCTCGGGTCTATTGTTCAAAGTGATGGTGTTATAAATGGGGATGTTGCTATTAGAATTCAAGTTGGTTGGTTAAAGTGGATGAATGCTTCAGGCCTATTGTGTGATAGAAAAGCACCACTTTATAAAAAAAGGAAGATTTTATAAGATGGTGGTGAGACCTACAATGCTCTATGGCACAGAATGTTAGTCTTTAAAAGAGAAATATAAAACAAAGTTAAATGTTACCGAGATGACAATGCTTAGGTGGATGAGTGGCATGACACTTAGAGACAAAATGCGTAATTGCGAAATGAATATATATCTGTGATAGGGTTGGTTTAGCTCCAGTGGTGGACAAAATTAAAAAAAGTGTCCTTAGATGGTTTGGTCACATTAAACGTCGATCACCTGCTAATCTGATTAAGAGAGTAGATGTTTTAGACTCGACACGACTTATGTTAAGAAATGTAGAGGTAGACCTAGGACAACTTGGTCATTTTGTATAAAAAAATGATCTTAATTTATTAGATTTATATGAAAATACGGCACTCTATAGGATGCAATGGAGAAAAAGGATTCTAGTAGGCGACCCCACTTAGTGGGATAAAGGTTTGTTGGTGTTGTTATTGTTGTTGTTAGAGACAAAAATGAGTAATGAATATATCCATAGATAAGGTTAGTGTAGCTCCAGTGGAGGACAAAAT